GGAAAGGAGCCTCAATGCTCCCTAACTTATCTCCTTTAGCGGAGGAAACATCAGACCATCCTTTATGAAAGGAAACGATATGTCCCACAATTCTTTGCAACAGCAAAATTAATTTATAAATAATAGAACAGCTGTTTTATTCTTATGATCCAGATGTGAATCATCACATGATCATCTGATCTCCTCTCTGTCACATCTGTCCAGTCAACAACAAACAAAATGGACTTATAGTTCACAACTAAATAACCGTAGTCCTTGAGGACATCAATACAAGTTCTCAGGTGGGTAGACTCATGTCCTCACCTGGAAGACATCGTTGGCACACTTCCGACAGAGGTTGTGTTGGCAGGGCAGGATGACCACAGGCTTGGTGAACATCTCCAGACAGATGGGACAGATGAGCTGCTTCTCCAGACTCTCCATGACGCTAAGCGGCACCTGTCACCAGGGGGCGACACCCGTGAGGACCGGGGCCTCAAGAGATTACAGAAAAAAAGAAAGTGAAGGAGCAGCAGTGTTGTGGGTCTGCGGTGTTGTGGGTCTGCGGTGTTGTGGGTCTGTGCACAACAGTGTGACAAATCTGAGTCTGTTTTTAGATGGACAGACGTCAGCTGTTGCTGTGCCGACAAGTCCTTATATGTCAAAGGTCACAAGGAGGCGTGACAGAGCACAGGGACAAGTGGGCCGGGGGAGGGGGTCAGAGTAAGTAAGCAGGACAGATTCTTAAAGGGACAATTCACAGTGTCAGAAAAGTTGAGGAGGCTGCAGCTCCCCCTGTTAGTCAGTGTTGGGTTTGATATTTATTTTAAATTATTTAATGACTTTTACCCAGAGATCAGCTCAAATTCCTTCTGTCACTTTTTATTCAAAATTCAAAATTTAATTTGAAACTGGGTTTCAAATTTAGATTCAAACTGCAACGGCAATCGAGCATCTGAAGTAGTTGACCCAGCAGAGGGCGCTCACTGCCAGCTTGACCCGTACGCTGAAAATAAAGCTGGACGCCATGACAGGTCCCAAAACTGAGAAGAGGTGTGTGAAGGGGTGGGGATTCTCAAGTGGCCTGGAGACAAGAGGAAAGTCCGGGGACATCTGATGGACAGGAAGAGTATGACACATGAAATGTCTTGAAAGTATAATTTTATTGTACAGCCTGTTCAATGACAATAAATAAATTCTTATTCTTATGAAGAAAAACACATGGACATCTGTAAAATCGAATATTTAATATGTCAACATACATCAACACAATAATCTCGGTAAATGTGTCCAATCATAATGGCGCTCTCTGCAGGACCGACAGAGACAGAGCTGTTCAACTGCTACGCTAGGATCACTCTCAACAATACTTTAATGATAAGAACAGACAGGAGGTTCATCATGTCATGTGATTACAGGTGACATTAGTTCGCACTCTGAACCTTATTCACAAATAAAGTAAACATAACAATTAAAATGAAACAAC